CTGCACGCCCTCATTCCCCCCCCTGCACGCCCTCATTCCCCCCCCTGCACGCCCTCATTCCCCCCTGCACGCCCTCATTTCCGCCCCTGCACGCCCATCACCCCACCCCTGCCTTCACATCTCCTCTTCCTTGCCCTTCACTTGCCTTCCCTTCCCTCGGCTCCCCTTCCCTACCAGCCCTTCCGCTTCCAGACCCTGCAGTCAATCACCCGTCCCTTTTTGTCTCGCGTCACTTCCGTTGCTGCTCTTCCAACCCTGCCCCTCACTTACACACAATGTGAGTCCCAACCAGTCCATCCCCTCTCTTTCTGCCCTCCTCTTCTCGTCCATCCGCCCTCTCACACTCGTCACGCCTCCCCACGCACTCTTCCTGCCATTCTCACTCTCGCGCCGTCGCCATCCCTCCCTGCCTTCCCATCACACCTCCCTGCCTTCCCATCACACCTCCCTGCCTTCCCATCACACCTCCCTGCCTTCCCATCACACCTCCCTGCCTTCCCATCACACCTCCCTGCCTTCCCATCACACCTCCCTGCCTTCCCATCACACCTCCCTGCCTTCCCATCACACCTCCCTGCCTTCCCATCACACCTCCCTGCCTTCCCATCACACCTCCCTGCCTTCCCATCACACCTCCCTGCCTTCCCATCACACCTCCCTGCCTTCCCATCACACCTCCCTGCCTTCCCATCACACCTCCCTGCCTTCCCATCACACCTCCCTGCCTTCCCATCACACCTCCCTGCCTTCCCATCACACCTCCCTGCCTTCCCATCACACCTCCCTGCCTTCCCATCACACCTCCCTGCCTTCCCATCACACCTCCCTGCCTTCCCATCACACCTCCCTGCCTTCCCATCACACCTCCCTGCCTTCCCATCACACCTCCCTGCCTTCCCATCACACCTCCCTGCCTTCCCATCACACCTCCCTGCCTTCCCATCACACCTCCCTGCCTTCCCATCACACCTCCCTGCCTTCCCATCACACCTCCCTGCCTTCCCATCACACCTCCCTGCCTTCCCATCACACCTCCCTACCTTCCCATCACACCTCCCTGCCTTCCCATCACACCTCCCTGCCTTCCCATCACACCTCCCTACCTTCCCATCACACCTCCCTGCCTTCCCGCCACACGTCCCTGCCTTGCCTCCCATGGGTTTGGGGCCCCATTATTTACCGCTGCGACACCAAGCACGACAACGCCTGGCCCAAGCGAGATTGGCATCGTGAAGGGAGGGGCATTAGGTTGCTTGCAGGAGTGTGTCGTGGCATGAAGATGACACCAAGGGTAGAGGATAGTGCTGTTTAGTATACCTGGAGATTATTTTATGTGCACATACAACTCGAAAAGCTCCTTTTTTTTCAACATCATTGCTGTGCTAATTTTCAAACGTAGAGATGGCTTACCGAAAGAAAGACATCTAGAAGACAGATAATGTGATACATATCGGATGCATGTGAACATCATGTGCAATATAAACGTGTTGTAACATTCAACCGAATTCAACACTGAGTGGGAGCACATGCAAGCCTAGACTGAAGGAAACTGGTCCATCTTCTTCCGTGCTGCAAGCAAGGGGGGAAAAGGAGGGGATGCAGGGGGGGAAGGGAGGAGAAGAAGGGGGGGAAAGGAGGGGAAGCAGGGGGGAAAGGAGGGGAAGCAGGAAAGGAGGGGAAGCAGGAAAGGAGGGGAAGCAGGGGGGGAAAGGAGGGGAAGCAGGGGGGGAAAGGAGGAGAAGCCGTGGGGGAAAAGGGGAGAAGCGTGGGGGGAAAGGAGGGGAAGCAGGGGGGGAAAGGAGGGGAAGCCGTAGGGGAAAAGGGGGGAAGAAGGGGGGGGGGGGGGAAGGAGGGGAAAAATGGGGCTAGCATGGGGGGAAACATAGGGCCAGCAGTAGGGGGGTGACATGGGGCTAAGAGGGCGGAAACATGGGGCTAGCATGGGGGGAAGTATGGGGCTAGCAGGGGGGGAAATGGGGCTGGCAGGGGGGAAAAATGGGGCTGGCAGGGGGGAAAAATGGGGCTGGCATAGGGGGAAATATGGGGCGCAGGGGGGGAAATGGGGCTGGAGCGCGCGTGCTTGCAACCGCGTGCTGATTGATGACGCGCGAGCGTCATCTGCGCTCGCTGTGCAGGCGCGCGCGCTATGCAGGCGCGTACCGCTTTGCTGCGCGCGTTTTGCTGGCGCGCGCTGCTATGCTGAGCGCGCATTGCTGACGCGCGCTGCGCTGTCTCGCGCGGAATGCAGGCGTGCGTTCGAGGCTCGAGGAGAGCGCGCAACTGCTGCTGCACAGGCTTCTGCTTATGCGCGGGCTAATCCTGGCTAAGGGCGACGGGCCAGCTGGCTGGCAGAGGAGTGCAAATACCTCCCCACGTGAAATGTGTATTTTCTGAATGCACGAAGCCATTGCGGGGAGCGCGTCGAATGCCCCTCGTAGTGGCGCATTAGATAGGTTTCGACGGGCGCTAAGTATTCAATACGGCGGATTGAGGCGAATGCCTCTGTGCCATCGTCCGAGTGCATTGCGTCGAAATATTAGTGCACGTGGGGGAGATGGCGGGCGTTTTTGCTGGTCGCTTTTTAACCGTCGCCTGCTCTGCACATGGCTAATTACTCACCCGCGACTACCTATGTGTGTGGTCGCGCTCCAGGTCTAGCAACCACTAGCCCACTCCTTAGGTACTTCTACCAGTTCTGATAGCTACTAGTCTCTTCGAAGCGTGCCAGCGAGGCAGGTGAGTTCGGTTTGTGACTGACAACCTCCCCACCCAACCCTTGTTCCCTCACAACAGTGCCGCCTCAGTTTTTCGCCAACACCCTCGCCAGTCTGTTTTTTGTTTCGTTGAGGCGAATCCCCCCTCAGCACACTGTACAAAACAAATAGTACTTTCAAATGTATACTGCTGCTTTAATGGAGATTAACTCGGTCGAATCGCGCTCCGGCATTAACGACATTGGCAGGGAAGCCATGGCTTCGGTGGTTGTGAGAGGGGGGAACGAATTTCCTGGTTCGGACTCTGATAGAAATGATTTTGGAGCTTGAGTGAATCTGATTGCTTTTGCGCCAGCAGCGAGGCATTCCCTCGTTTGTAGCACGCTCGTTACGCCAATTACAGGATCAACGTGCAATTTGCCCAGCATAATCGGGTAATCTTGTTCGATTAGATCTACAAATGACGTTCGAAGCCGGTCCAAATCGTACGGTTGATTCATCAACTCCTCGGTTAATCCGGCGAGAGTATCATGTGCCTCGGAAGACATTCTAGGTTCGGCAGAATCTGGTTCGGAAAGCGTATCTGGTTTGGCATGGCAAGAGGTACTCGTTGGGCAAACGTTCGGCTGGTAACTTTTGGAGGCTCGGAAGGGGGAGATTTACGGTTTCTCGGAGTTTCGGGAGGCGGGAAAATGTAGAGTATGGTAAAACCAAACGGACCCATAACCGCATCTAACGGAGATAAGTGAATCAGCTTATCCTCGATAGTAGCCGCTCCGCAATCCATACTAGTAGCCCTAACGCCAGCTTCTAGCTGATCCATTGTAGTCAAATCCTCGGTATTAGAATCCATGATGGTCCAACGAGGGTGGATCACAAATGTGAGCGGTCACGCTAGTACGCGTGGGAGAGACTGGCGGAATGGCGGCAGGCAGGGAAAGAAAACGAAGGAAGGTGAGGAAGACAAGAGAGGCTGAGCGAGATATAAAGCTCTCAAAGCAAATAATCGATAGCGGATGCGCGGAGAACGTTACGCTCGGTCTAGAGTCTCCTCCGTGTATATGCTATGTAAGGCACCATAGTCGAATTTAGTACAATGGCATATACCATGGTCTAGAGTCTCGTCCGTGTATATGCTCCGTAGGGCGCCATTGTCGAATTTAGTAATGGCATTTGAACGAGCTTCAAGTGACCGTGAATGAGCAAAACCCACGGTGTACCGCATGGGAACGTTTTGAAAACCTTTACACCATTGGCGAATGGCGATGCAATCGTGTGCCCATCCTCGTTAGTAAGTCAGTGAAAGGGAGCAGTGTACCCCCCGTCTATCTGTGAACAATAATAGCTAATAGTCGTACTAGCTTCATTCCATAAATTAACATTGACATCCTTGTTATTTTGTTCTTGCCTTTCTGGATCTAGCAATTCCTGCTTCTTTTACAGCACAAAGCACGTATGAGGGGATATTGTTTACTAGGTTATTTCGAAGGACGATAAGACCATCCATGAGAGTGTAGAAAATGTTCAGCAGCATCCCGTGCTCCCCGGTTAGGAATGAGCTGCTGAGATAAAAGAGGCCTCCGGGTTACAGGGTCAAACAAGTTACCCTGAAAAAAAAAAAACGGGGCAAAAAAATACAAAATAAAGATTAGGAAGAGATAGGAACGACGAGAGGGGAAATCCATGAGTTTGACCCGGATCGAGATGGTCTCTCATATGTCACCCTGATCAGGATTACCACACGATCAATATTTATCCACTCAAATTCCAACACACTCTCTCTTGGAAATGCTCTCACCGCTTTAAGATGCTCTTCTATGGCGGATCTTTCATACGTCACTCCACTTGAGGTCATCATAGGATCGGTAGAGAGCCGATCATATTTCATCACACTCTCACCGCTTTAAGATGCTCTTCTATGGCGGATCTTTCATACGTCACTCCACTTGGGGTTATCACAGGATCGCGGAGAACGTCGAGCATGATGCGGCACGATAGATGCTCCGGTAGCTGGTAGCAGGGGGAGGGAGAGGGGAAAGTAAACACAGTTAGGCAAGAGGCCTGAAGCAGGGGGCACAGGGATCGCGGAGAATGTCGAGCATGATGCGCCACGATAGATGCTCCGGTAGCTGGTAGCAGGGGGAGGGAGAGGGGAAAGTAAACACAGTTAGGCAAGAGGCCTGAAGCAGGGGGCACAGGGATCGCGGAGAATGTCGAGCATGATGCGGCACGATAGATGCTCCGGTAGCTGGTAGCAGGGGGAGGGAGAGGGGAAAGTAAACACAGTTAGGCAAGAGGCCTGAAGCAGGGGGCACAGGGATCGCGGAGAATGTCGAGCATGATGCGGCACGATAGATGCTCCGGTAGCTGGTGGGAGAAGGGGGATGAAGCGAGGAGAGGAGGGCGGGAAGGTTTAAACACAGGCAGGTAAGACGCTTGAAGATGGGTTATCATGGGATCGCGGAGAATGTCGAGCATGATCCGAAACGACAGGTGCTCTGGTAGCTGGTGGGAGGAGACAAATGGAGAGGGAGGAAGGGGAGAATGGGGAGAGAAGGGAGCGAGGGGGGGGGACCCAATTAGACGAGGGCTGGTAGTGAGGGGCTCTGGGATCGCGGAGAATGTCGAGCACGATCCGACACAACAGGTGCTCTGGTAGCTGGTGAGAGAAGGGGGAGTGGCGGGGAAAAAAAGGGAGGGAGCGGGGAACACAAACAGACACGGGCTTAAAGCCGGGGACCGAAGGGATCGCGGAGAATGTCGAGCATGCTGCGATAGGAGAGGTGCTCTGGTTGCTGGTTGCAGAAAGAGGGGGGTGGGAGGATTAACCACAGGCGGCTAGTTGATTGAGGGTCTGAATGAACACCTTTGAGGCGCCTCAAAAGGGATTTTTGAGGCGCCTCAAAAGGGGGGGGGTGGGAGGATTAACCACAGGCGGCTAGTTGATTGAGGGTGTGAATGACGACCTGTTGCCCCGCTGTGTGAATTAACCACAGTGGTTGTTCAAGGAGTTGAAATGGTAGTTGGGAATTACACAGGGCTTTAAGGGGTGCCCCATCAAGGAAGATAGGGGATGAGGGTATGGTGAGGCAGCAGCAGGTGTTGAGAGGGTGTTTTTGAGACGTCTCAAAAACACCCTCTCTACAGGAAGATGGGGGATGAGGGTAGGGTGAGGCAGCAGCAGGTGTTGAGGCAAGGAGAGGCACCATACCTTGCCAGGAATGTCCTCTGCGAGCGATTCTCGAGAATTCTCTCAAATGTGCCTCTGCTAGATCAAACACATTGCTCAGCGCATTGTTCAGCGCCTCTGCTTTCTCAATGTAGCACTGGAGCAGCAGAGAGGCAGAGCGAGGGCATGCAATAAACCACAGAAGTACCATACCTCGCCAGGGGTATCCTCTGCTTGTGCTATATTGAACACATTGCTCAGCGCCTCTGCTTTCTCAATGTATTACTGGAGGAGCGAAGAGGCAGAGGGAGCAACAGAGTAGCAGAGAAAAGGGCAGCGGAGAAAAGGCCAAGTACCATACCTCTCCAGGAGTATCCTCTGATTGTGTTAGATTGAACACATTGCTCAGCACCTCTGCTTTCTCACTGTATAACTGGAGGAGCAAAGAGGCAGAGGGAGCAACAGAGTAGCAGAGAAAAGGGCAGCGGAGAAAAGGCCAAGTACCATACCTCTCCAGGAGTATCCTCTGATTGTGCCAGTCGAAACACATTGCTCAGCACCTCTGCCCGCCTTATCAATGCACGACTGGAGCAGCAGAGAGGGCGAGGGAGCAACAGAGTAGCAGAGAAAAGGGCAGCGGAGAAAAGGCCAAGTATCATACCTCTCCAGGAGTATCCTCTGATTGTGCCAGTCGAAACACATTGCTCAGCACCTCAGCTTTCTCAATGTACGACTGGAGCAGCAGAGAAGCCGTCTCCTCCATTGCTGTAGCACCCTCTGCTGCATCCCGACCTGCAGGCCCTGCTGACGTGGCATCCATGGCTGACATGGAATCTATTGCTGACGTGGCATTGCCTGCTAGGATTTCTGTACAAGCCTCTCCGATATAGTCACTCGTGCAACACCCGTCCACTCTGTCCTCGTTATAGTCACGTCTCTCTGCAGGCCGAAGCTGCACTGCTGCATTTGCACCCTCAGCTTCTGCTACTGTGGCTGCTAATCCATCATCTCCCCCTCCTCCTCCTCTTCCTCCTGTTTCCCTTGGTTCTACTGCAACTGCTGCTGCCGCAACCGCCGTCCCTTCTAAGGCTGCTCCTTCTGCCACTACAATTGCTGAATTTGACAATGCCGTGCCTTCTGAGGCTGTTGCTGCTTCGGCTGCTGTTGCTGCTGCTGCTGCTGCTGCTGCTGCTGCTGCTGCTGCTAATGATGATGATTCTGCTGCTCCACCCACGTCAGGATAATCCCTGCCGTGTGCTGCTGCTGACGCAGTAGCCAAATCCCTATCAGCAGCAGCAGCAGTAGCCAAATCCCTATCAGCAGCAGCAGCAGTAGCAGCGGAGTCCCTAGCAGCAGCAGCAGCAGCAGCAGCAGGATTGGTGTGTGGAGCTTGGGAGGGCATGGGGCAACAGCAGCTGCCAGGGAACCCGTGGGAGAAGCACCCTCCTCTTGGCATCTGAGGCGATAGCGGCCCTTGCTCCGCCCCTCCTGCGCCTGATGACGATGCTGCTGACGTGCCAGCTTCTCTTGCTGCTGACGTGGCGTTTCTTACCGAATGTGACTGTAACGAAGGTGAATGTGGGGGAGTGGAGGAGGAGGAAGAGGAGGAGGAGGAGTCTTCCCTCAGCAGCGCCTCTAGGGTTTGAAGGGCGTCCTGCTGGATTGGAAGCGGTTTAGACCCTGGGGGAAGGAGAACAGGAGAAAGGGTGAGAGGGAGACGATGATTAATACAAAGGATCATTCGAGAGGGAGAGAGGGAGAGGGAGAGAGGAAGAGGATTGAAAGATAAGCCCTGCCTCATTAGCACCTCTAGGGTTTGAAGAGATTTGGAGGAGGTTTAGACTCTGGGATTCAAAGAGTGGGGGAGGGAGAGGGAGAGAGGGAGAGCAGAGCAAGAGAGGGAGAATAGTGGGGAGGAAGAGATAAGAATTGGAAGAAAGGAGACCACCATCATCACTACCACCATCATCACTACCACCATCATCACTACCACCATCATCACTACCACCATCATCACTACCACCATCATCACTACCACCATCATCACTACCACCATCATCACTACCACCATCATCACTACCACCATCATCACTACCACCATCATCACTACCACCAGCATCACCATCAACACCACCACCACCAACACCACCACCACACCACCAACCCCTTACCTCTCTGCACCTCACACCACATCTCATCAATTTTCCCCACCGCTCACCACCTCTCACCACCCCTCACCACCTCTCACCACCTATCACCACCTCTCATCACCGCTCATCACCTGTGATTGCAGCCAAGTCTGCCTGCAATTGCTCCTTCAGCAGCTCCCCTAGGAAAGCCCTGAAGACAACGCACGAGTGTTGTGAGGAAAGGAATAGGTGGCTTTGATTAGACGATTTCTGAGGCGCCACTCACAATTAATTGCTGCTTCAGCAGCCTCTCTCAAAAACACCTAAAAACAGAAGTACGAGCATGCGATCATGTGAGTCAGCGTGTGGGCGTACGCATGTGTGTTTGCCAACTTTCAAAAACACTGCTCCCAACTCACCTTAGCTGCTGCTGCTTCCTCTTTCGCATGCGCGCACGCGCGTGCGTGCGTGTGCGTGTGTGTGTGTGCGTGCGTGCGTGCGTGTGTGTGTGTGTGTGTGTGCGTGTGCGTGCGTGTGTGTGTGTGTGTGCGTGCGTGTGTGTGTGTGTGTGTGCGTGTGCGTGCGTGCATGCGTGCGTGCGTGTGCGTGGGTGTGTGTGTGTGTGTGTGTGTGTGTGTGTGTGTGTGTGTGTGTGCATGTGTAACCATATGGATACTCATGTTTGCCAACTTTCAAAAACACTGTTCCCGACTTACCTCAGCTGCTGCTGCTTCCTCTTTCGCATTGATACTTCCACCTCCCACTGCCGATACCTGGCAAATGTGACGAGGGGAAAGAAAGAGGAGAGAGGAGAGAGGAGAGAGCAGCGAGGAAAGAGGGAGAGGCGAGAGGAGAGAGGAGAGGGAAGATAGGAGAGAGGATAGAGGAGAGAGGAGAGAGGAGAGAGGAGAGAGGAGAGAGGAGAGAGGAGAGAGGAGAGACGAGAGGGAAGAGACGAGAGTGGAGAAAGGAGACAGGAGAGCGAACGACGCAAGTGAGAAGCAACAGAGCCATGGCGTGGCGAGGCATCGCACATACCTGATACACACAAGCCTGCCTGTATCCTCATATTAGACAACAGGTGCGAGCGATGGCATGAGGCAGCAACACCCACCTGGAAGGGGCCATGGCGTTCCACGTGTCGTTCAGGTTCCCTCTGCTCTGCTGCTGCCCAGCACAGCACGGTGTGGTGAATTATCGCATATACCTAATGCCTACATGCATGCATGCATGCCTGCCCGTGTCCTCATATTTGACTATCAGTGGCTGGTAAGAGCAGCACCCGCCTGGCAGTGAAGCATCACATATACCTAATGCATACATGCATGCATGCATGCCTGCCCGTGTCCTCATACATGACTATCAGTGGCTGGTAAGAGCAGCACCCGCCTGGCAGTGAAGCATCACATATATCTAATGCATACATGCATGCATGCATGCCTGCCCATGTCCTCATACATGACTATTAGTGGCTGGTAAGAGCAGCACCCGCCTGGCAGTGAAGCATCACATATACCTAATGCGTACATACATGCATGCATGCATGCCTGCCCATATCCTCATATTTGACTATCAGTGGCTGGTAAGAGCAGCACCCGCCTGGCAGTGAAGCATCACATATACCTAATGCGTACATGCATGCATGCATGCATGCCTGCCCGTATCCTCATATTTGACTATCAGTGGCTGGTAAGAGCAGCACCCGCACGGCACGCACCTGGCAGTGGCCATGGCGTTCCACGTGTCGTTCAGGTTCCCTGTGCTGCTGCCCAGCACAGCATGGTGAAGCACCACCCATAAGCACCCCGGCCTACAGCACAATAGCGCACCAGCACGCACCTGGCAGTGGCCATGGCATTCCACACATCGTTCAGGTTCCCTCTGCTGCTGCCCAGCACTGCATCATCCCGAATGATCTCCACTGCCTGGTGGGAAGGGAGGCGGGGAGGGAGAAGAGAGGGAGAAGGAGCAACCTTAGGTGCTGTACGCCTTGCCCTCTGCTGCTGCCCAGCACTGCATCATCTCGAATGATCTCCACCGCCTGGTGGGAAGGGAGGCGGGGAGGGAGAAGAGAGGGAGAAGGAGCAACCTTAGCTGCTGTACGCCTTTCCCTCTGCTGCTGCCCAGCACTGCATCATCTCGAATGATCTCCACCGCCTGGTGGGAAGGAGGAAGGGAGGCAGGCAGGCAGGCAGGCAGGCAGGCACGTGGGGTGCAATGAGCAGCACGTGGGGTGCAATGAGCAGCACGTGGGGTGCAATGAGCAGCACGTGGGGTGCAATGAGCAGCACGTGGGGTGCAATGAGCAGCACGTGGGATGCAATGAGCAGCACGTGGGGTGCAATCAGCAGCAGCACGTGGGATGCAATGAGCTGAATTCCAACCGCTCATTAGACTCCCCCAACCACACATCAGATTCCCAACCTCTCTAGCAGATCACCTCACCCTTTCGAGCACCAAGGCTGCATCGGGGTAGCGAGCGAGCTCTGTGAAGGCCTAGTGTGGTGTGGTGCGATGAGGTGCAGTGGAGTGTGGTGCGGTGCAGTGTGGTAAGATCAATAATCACTCGCTCAAACCACTCACCAGACTCCAAACCTCTCATCGCACTCCCAAATCAATCAGCTCACCCTTTCGAGCACATGGGCAGCCTCAGCGTAGCGAACGAGCTCTGACAGGGCCTAGTGTGGTGCGGTGCGATGTGGTGCGGTGCGGTGTGGTACGATCTAACAAATCAGCTCACCCTTTCGAGCACATGAGCAGCCTCGGGGTAGCGAGCGAGCTCCGTCAGGGCCGTTCCCAGGTAGAAGTGCGCCTGGTGTGGTGTAGTGTGGTGTTGTGTGGTATGGTTTGCAGGGAAAAAATGGCAGTGCAATTGATGGGGAGTGGGGGAGGAGGGGTAGGGGGGGGGGGGGAGAGGAGACATGCATTGATGGGCCTATTCCAAAACGCAGTGCAATTGACTTTTGACATTAACTTAAATTGATTCACAAGCTCTGTGACATTCATTCCTAAGAGAAAGTGCAGGTGGACACAAGGCTTGGATAATCCACTAACAACATGCTTCCACACATGTATACAAACATATACTCATACGGCAAAAAAAAACAGTCATGCATGCTCTACTCTACCTGCCCTGCCAACGCCCACCTTGACGGACTTTCTATCGTGCCCAGTCGCTCTCACACAGGGCATTCATGTATCAAGTTTGAGACGGCTCAGAACCCTGCCCAGCTCAATTGTCCAAAGTGCGTCCATGCTTTTTGTCCAATTGTCAGAATTCTTATCAGACCAACGTCCGCACACACCTTGACTGACTTGCTCCACCTGCCCACCTGTGGAAGTAACGCCTTCCCAGCCATCTATCTTCCCTTCTCAACGCCCACCTTGACTGACTTCTTGTCGTGCTCAATCGCCCTCACACAGTCATGCTCCACCTACCCACCTGTGGATGTAAGGCCTTCCCAGCCCACCTGTCTTCCCTTCTCAACGCCCACCTTGACTGACTTGTTGTCGTGCTCAATCGCCCTCACACAGTCATGCTCCACCTGCGCACCTGTGGATGTATGTAAGGCCACCACAGCAGCCCACATGTCCACCCTCGGCAACACACACCTTCACAGATTTCTTGTCGTGCTCAATCGCCCTCACACAATCATGCTCCACCTGAAGCCAGTCGCTGGGAAAGGGAAAGGGAAGGTTAGAGAAAAATTGGGGGGAAGGGCGGGGAGATGGTAGGTAGGAGGACACTGAGGAGGAGAGCCATTTGGTTCCTCTCACACAGTCATGCTCCTCCTGAAGCCAGTCGCTGGAGGAGAGGAGGGCAGGGGGAACGTGTTGGTGCAGATGCGGGGAGGGGGGCGGGGAATGGTGGGGCAGTGAGGAAGAGAACTCTTCTACTGCTATCAATATCACACAGACATGCTCCACCTGAACCCAGTCGTGTGGGAACAGGAAGAAGAGGGGGGGGGGGGGGGGGGGGAGTGGCAGGGAAGAGGGAGTGTCGGCAGGGCAGTGAGGAAGAGAACCCTTTGACCGCCCTCAATATCACACAGTCATGCTCCACCTGCGCCGGTCGCTGGGGAAGAGGAAGGAGGAGGGAGGGAGTGAAGCGGGAAGGGAAGAGGGAGGGAGGCGGAGAGGGAGGCAGACGGGGAGGCGGAGAGGAGGCAGAGGGGGAGGCGGAGAGGGAGGCAGATGGAAGGAAGGCAGGGTTTAGGGGTTGAGCAATCAACCGCTCGCCTTCCCTTCAAACCGAGTTAATCAAGTCAGGGTATAGATGGATTCCACCCCTACCCAGGATGGGCAACCGATATCAAACGCATAGAGTGACTCCCACCAATGCTCACTCACATTCCACCCCCGCCCACCCAAATGCGCTGAGTAGTCACACTTAGAAATCAAACCTCTCGCCTTCCCTTCAAACCCGGTTACTTCAAGCCAGACCAGAGTATGGATGAGCAACCGATATCAAACGTATGGAGTGACTCCCATCAATGCCCACATTCCACCCCCACCCACCCAAATGTGCTACTACGCTCACAAATTAGCTGGCTTTGAGAATTCTCTAAAACCAACCTCCATTTGGTCCGGCAATCATAAACATCCATCCATCCTCACACCATCCTCCTTCTCACCCTCGCTTCCTCTGGCACTGAGCACGGTTGGTCCAGAACGTTTACCCTCTCATGCTTCCCCCCTCCCCCGACCCCACTCTTGCTTCCCCACCTGGCGGCCCCCAGTGATGCCCTCCCTCACCCTCGCTTCCGGTGGCACAGAGCGCGGTTGGTTCAGAACGAGTGCAACAAGTTTTGAGACGAATTGCTCAAAACGCAAAAACCCCCCCATCCCCCCTCTCCCTCCCCACTCCTCCCCACCCAATCCCCAGTCTTCCCCTCTCACCCTCGCTTCCGGTGGCACAGAGCGCGGTTGGTTCAGTTCAGAACGTATACCCCTCTCACCCTCGCATGCTTTCCCAATCACTCCACCCCCACCCAATCCCCAGTCTTCCCCTCTCACCCTCGCATGCTTTCCCAACCACTCCACCCCCAACCCAGCCTTCCCCACTCACCCTCGCTTCCGGTGGCACAGAGCGCGGTTGGTCCGGAACGTATAGGTCCTAGTCCTATCACACCTTTCCCCCCCTCCCCTCTCCCCAACTCCTCTCCACCCAATCCCCAGCCTTCCGCTCTCACCCTCGCTACCTGTGGCACAGGGCGCGGTTGGTCCAGAAGGTATACCCCTCTCACCCTCGCATGCTTTCCCAACCACTCCACTCCACCCCCACCCAATCCCCATTCTTCCCCTCTCACTCTCGCTTCCGGTGGCACAGGGCGCGGTTGGTCCAGAACGTATAGGTCCTAGTCCTATCACACTTCCCCCCCCCTTCCCCCTCCCCAACTCCTCCCCACCCACCACCCAGCCTTCCGCACTCACCCTTGCTGCCTGTGGCACAGAGCGCGGTTGGTCCAGAAGGTGGCGACGGATGGACACAGGCGGATGGCCTGGCAGGCAGGCAGGGAGGGAGGATGGGAAGGGAAGGGACGAGAAGGGAATGGGGCATTCAAGTTCTTTGCTTGCTCTCACTCCACACACACACACAAACACACACACACACACACACACACACACACACACACACACACACACACACACACACACCCTCGCTTCCAGTGGCACAGGGCGCGGTTGGTCCAGAAGGCGGCAACGGATGGACACAGGAGAATGGCCTGATGGGGAGGGAAGACGGGAAGGGACGGGAAGGGAAGGGAAGGGAAGGGAAGGGAAGGGAAGGGAAGGGAAGGGAAGGGAAGGGAAGGGAAGGGAAGGGAAGGGAAGGGAAGGGAAGGAAGGGAAGGGACGGGAAGGGAAGGGAAGGGAAGGGAAGGGAAGGGAAGGGAAGGGAAGGGAAGGGAAGGGAAGGGAAGGAACGGGAAGGGAAGGGAAGGGAAGGGAAGGAAAGGGAAGGGAAGGGAAGGGAAGGGAAGGGAAGGGAAGGGAAGAGAAGGGAAGGGAAGGGAAGGGAAGGGAAGGGACGGGACGGGAAGGGAAGGGAAGGGAAGGGAAGGGAAGGGAATGGAAGGGAAGGGACGGGAATGGAAGGGAAGGGAAGGGAAGGGACGGGAAGGGAAGGGACGGGAAGGGAAGAGAAGGAAGCATTGAAGTTATTTGCTTGCACTCAATCAATCGTACCCTTGCTGCCTGTGGCACAGGGCGCGGTTGGTCCAGAACGTGGAAACGGATGGACACAGGCGAATGGCCTGGCGGGGGAAAGGGGAAGGGAAGGGAAGAGAAGGGACGGGAAGGGAAGAGAAGAGAAGGTATGCTTTCTGAGACGCCTCAAACATGGACACACACGGATGGGAAAACAGCAGGAGGTGGAAGGGCAGCCACCGTACCTCAGGGCAGCAGCGGTGGAAGGGCAGCCACCGTACCTCAGTGTTGCACACGACAGCAGGTGCTATACTCCCTGCACTGTACTGCAGCGGAAGGGGGAGAGCAGCATAAACCTGTAACTTACCTCAGGGCAGCAGCAGAGGGAGGCAGCCACCGTACCTCAGTGCAGCAGGTTATAGCGGCTGTACGGTTTCCGCTATAAACCTGTAGCTCAGTGCAGCAGCCTAAACCTGTAACTACCTCAGTGCAGCAGGTTATAGCGGCTGTACGGTTTCCGCTATAAACCTGTAGCTCAGTGCAGCAGCCTAAACCTGTAACTACCTCAGTGCAGCAGGTTATAGCGGCTGTACGGTTTCCGCTATAAACCTGTAGCTCAGTGCAGCAGCCTAAACCTGTAACTACCTCAGTGCAGCAGGTTATAGCGGCTGTACGGTTTCCGCTATAAACCTGTAGCTCAGTGCAGCAGCCTAAACCTGTAACCACCTCAGTGCAGCAGGTTATAGCGGCTGTACGGTTTCCGCTATAAACCTGTAGCTCAGTGCAGCAGCCTAAACCTGTAACCACCTCAGTGCAGCAGGTTATAGCGGCTGTACGGTTTCCGCTATAAACCTGTAGCTCAGTGCAGCAGCCTAAACCTGTAACCACCTCAGTGCAGCAGGTTATAGCGGCTGTACGGTTTCCTGCGCTCTACTGCTTGTTCCCTTCTCCTTTGATACAGGGAGGGAGGGAGGGAGGGAGGGGGAGCACTGTAGCAGGAGAGCACTGTGGCACTGTACCTTGGCGTAACGAGGAAGAGACTTTTGAGTCGACTCAAAAGTCACCTCGAGGGTAAGCACTGTAGCAGGAAAGCACTTTTGAGGATTCTCAAATGTGATTTCCAGCACTGTGGCACTGTACCTTCGTGTAACGAGGAAGAGCAGCGTACCTCAGTGGGGCGGGACAGGGGGGGGCACTATACCTCAGTGTAGCACGCGCTAACGGCTGCTTGTTCTCCTGCTCCTTTGGTACAGGGAGGGAGAGCAGGAGGGCCTTGTGCATTATGCTATGTTCCCCGCACCTCAGAGTAGCACGTGATAGGGCGGCTATATTCCCAGTGCCCTGCACTGCACCGTACCTCACTGTAGCACGCGCTAGCAGCTGCGATGTTCCCCGCGCTGTACTGCTCGTTCCCCTGCTCCCTAGGTACAGGGAGGGAGGGGGAACACTGTAGCAGGAGAGCACTGTATAGCGGCTGCTATATTCCCCGCGCTGTACTGCTCGTTCCTCTGCTCCCTAGGTACAGGGAGGGAGGGGGAACACTGTAGCAGGAGAGCACTGTATAGCGGCTGCTATATTCCCCGCGCTGTACTGCTCGTTCCTCTGCTCCCTAGGTACAGGGAGGGAGGGGGAACACTGTAGCAGGAGAGCACTGTATAGCGGCTGCTATATTCCCCGCGCTGTACTGCTCGTTCCTCTGCTCCCTAGGTACAGGGAGGGAGGGGGAACACTGTAGCAGGAGAGCACTGTATAGCGGCTGCTATATTCCCCGCGCTGTACTGCTCGTTCCCCTGCTCCTTCACTGAGGGAGGGAGAGACTATGCTAAGGGAGCACCCAGCCCGGCCCGGCACATTACCTCTGCTCGGTGTGGCACGCGATAGCGGCTGCAATGTTACCAGCTGTGCTCGGGAAGGGGGGGAACTACTCACCTCAGTGCGGAGGGAAACAGCCCAGCCCAGCCCAGCCCTGTGCGTACCTCAGTGTAGCACGCGATAGCGGCTGCCATATCCCCCTCGCTGTACTGCTGAAGGGGAGGGGGGAGACACGCACCTTAGTGCGGAGGGAAACAGCCCAGCCCACCCCTGTGCGTACCTCAGTGTAGCACGCGATAGCGGCTGCTATATTCCCCGCGCTGTACTGCTCGTTCCCCTGCTCCTTGAACCGCTCTGCTCGTCTCTGCACACTCGAGGTCGCTCCGGATTCTGCTGCTGCTGATTCCGCCGGTGGTGCTGCGCTCGCGCCTGCTGCTTGCGCCGTCCCCCTGCTTCCCCCGCTGCCTCCCCCTGCGCCCACGCCTCCCCCGCTGCCTTCCCGTCCCTCTCCTGTGGCTCCTCCTCTCTCTCCACCCCTTTCTCTCTGCCTTTCTCTCCCCGTTTCTCTCCCCCCCCTTCCTCCTTCGCCTCCTCGCTCCCCCTCCCCTTCCCCGCCACGCCCTCTCCTCCCTGTCTCCCCACGTCTCGTAACTTCCACGTGACTCCAGCTGAAAAAAAACGACCGCGTTCCACCACTGCTGCTGCTGCTGCTGCTGGCGCTAGCGCTGGTGGTATTCGTGCTGTGTCTCTCCATCCGGAACGGCGCTATGCGACCGGCTACGACGCTGTGCGACCGGCTACGACGCTGTGCGACCGGCTACGATGATATGCGACCAGCTACGACGCTGTGTGACCAGCTACGACGCTGTGAGACCAGCTATGACGATATGCGACTGGCTACGACGCTACGCGACCGGTTACGACCTTAGATCTCTTCTGAAAAGTTCCCAGACAATAATGTAAACGGTTCTCAGAAGATTTGAGAACTTGAAAAGACAGAGACTTGTAACCAAGAGATTCCCAGTCAAACGCTTGAACTCGGCTCCAGCTGATTTTTTAGGCGCCTCAAAAATCGGTTTTGAGACGGCTCAAAAGACAGAGACTTGTAACCAAGAGATTCCCAGTCAAAACGCTTGAAATCGGCTGCAGCTGAAGAGAAACGACTTTTGAGTCGACTCAAAAGTCAGACTTGTAACCAAGAGATTCCCAGTCAAAACGCTTGAAATCGGCTCCAGCTGAAGAGAAACGACTTTTGAGTCGACTCAAAAGTCAGACTTGTAACCAAGAGATTCCCAAGTCAAACGCTTGAACTCGGCTGCAGCTGAAGAGAAACGACCGCTACACACCAGAATGTCACGATGCTGGACGGATTTTGAGAGCTAAGGTTGCGACGCGGAACGACAGGCTGCGACGCTGAACGACAGACTGCGACGCTAAACAATTGTTAGACTCAACAACAAAATGTCACACAGTATGCTGCGACGATGTCTGATAAGGTAGGCTACAACGCTGAGTGGCTTCAGAGAATGAGGCTACAGACGCTGTTCCAGGACGTTATTGTTTCCGGTCGCTTTTGAGGCGACTCGTAAGCTTTTCGGGAACTTTTCACTTCTCAAATCACGAAGAGAACTCTCGCGTACAACTTTTTCAGGACCTAAGTGGCGGGAGAAGAAGTGGCTACAGCTGGGCACTGGGAGTCTACTATGCTGTGGCCTGTGCTTTGTACTTGTACTACATAGTGATTGCTCTGGCTTTGTTCCTGATGGCACGCCCGGTACCCCCAAAGCTAACATTAGAACTACACTAGAACAGAACAGGTGCGCAAAACTGATAGAAACAAATACTCCAATTTTTGTTTCTTTAGTTATTTACTGCTTGTTGCATGATCCTCCAACGTAAAATCTGATCGCAACTGGAAAATTTCATGTACGTACTCTGGTACCGTATCACACTCTCTGAAACAACTCATCACATCCTAGCCAACACATAGCAAGAAACGAAACACGTACATCGTGTTGGAATAACTAAATTGTTATGTTACTTCATATTCCAGAAAGTTCGCCATTAGAGCATTAGCACCATCTAGAGGATGCGCACTCCCACACTATCGTGTTACACTCGTATAGAGTGTCAAAGCACACACGTTTTGCATATTTTTACTTTAGGTGAGGTACAGGTGCTCAATATGGGCTACAGTTTTGCATATCCTATTGTACTTTGACATTCTAGTCATTCGAGTTTCCTGACATACTACCGTACTATCGCTAGGTCACCCGCTTCCGCCCCGGCTACCCTTCCACCTAGCTCCTGTTAGAATAATCAGGAATGAATGATGGACTAGGTAGCATGCATGAGTACAAGTACCTAACCCTAAAGTGTTGTACCCCTTGTAGGCTAACCCACTATAGCCTAGAGATAACACAAACATACAGTTTGACACACCCCCATAGGCTAAGTGGGAGATAGCAAACACAACAGATGGTCACAAGACCAGTCAGGCAAGAGAACAAAGCAAAGCAAAGCCCAGGGTGGATCACAA